GTATTTTATTACGGTTTTCGGTAATATATCGGTTTCGGTACTATAACGGTAACGGTAAGACTCAATTTCGGTACTATATCGGTTTCGGTATACAATCTCTAGTATAATACCGGTATTGAAATCATACCGGTATTAAGTCCCTGCACTCAGTGCACGGAGATGTTATTTGTGTCTGAGAATTTTCGTAACAGAGGAAATTTAAATTCTAGCTTAAAAATAAAATAAACTGAGTTTTTATACGAGGACAACGTAGAAACGATTGATGGTACCATCATCTTATAAATTTGCTAAATGTTAATCATTTTGGGAATACTAAAAAGTAACAATAAAACATCACACATTTCTACGTAGTACTGACAATAGTACTGATAATTGTATATAAGTATTTAGTATTGACATACAAATTGTCTGCAAATTTAATATGGATTAGGGATGAGCATATGATATCGATATATGATATTTGATATTTTAATATCGATATTCTGTTATTGATAATATCAAAAAGATTTTATCGATAATTTTATTTGATATTGAATATCGCATTGTTTGATTGGAAATTATTGAATATATATATTATATATATTCAATAATTCCGATCAAACAATGCGATATTCAATATCATTTGATATTGTAATATCGATATTCTGTTATTGATAATATCGGAATTATTGAATATATATAATATATATATTCAATAATTTCCAATCAAACAATGCGATATTCAATATCAAATAAAATTTTTGATAAATCTTTTTGATATTATCAATAACAGAATATCGATATTAAAATATCAAATATCATATATCGATATCATATGCTCATCCCTAATATGGATGTAATGATTGTTGCTTCATGTCAAAACAATGATGAACAAATTGATGATTATAAGTTGGCATGAATGTGTTCACACTTTATTCTTGCTGTTCAATTTACTTGATTTAATGCAGTTTCCTAAGTCACACACACACACAAATAATGATAAAACATAAATATCTATTTCAAAAAAAGAGCAAAGTCTAAATTTTCTGTGATATCGATTTTTCAAGTACACAAAAGAACAAATAATTCTTGCTATTCAGTTCACTTCTCTTGACTGAATTTTTCTGCTAAGTCCAATAGTAAATAAAATGTTGGCGTCCATTTTAGAACGAAAGCAAACATTGAATTGTTTTTAATAAACTTATCTTGAAATACGCAACAGAGACGCATTGAAATAATGTGCTTGAGTCTTGTATTCTTCTGCTAAGTAGTAATAAACTGTTTATTTTAGATGTTCATTAATTTTAAATGTTTATTTTAAAAAGAGCGCGAAGACTAAATTCTTTCTGACAAACTGGTTGTTCCAATACATAGAAGAGTACAGATAAAGAGTTATAATTCTTGTAAATGCATTATGACATTTTTCTTTGTTTTTGCACAATGTGATCTTTATGTATTGATTGACTATTCCTTATTTTTTTGATATATATTGATATGTGTTTTGAAGTATTATGAAATAATGAAAGGTTTTATTTGTACCTGAAATGGCGTTGGAAATAAATACTTCAACATGATTTACAAAATATGACACAATAAAGCAACAATCATTACATCCATATTAAATTTGCAGACGATTTGTATGTCGATACTAAATACTTATATACAATTGTCAGTACTACGTAGAAATGCGTGGTTTTATTTTTACTTTTTAGTATTCCCAAAATGATTAACATTTAGCAAATTTATAAGATAATGGTACCATCAATCGTTTCTACGTTGTCCTCGTATAAAAACTCAATTTATTTTATTTTTGATACAGGAATAATTTATATAAATAAAGAGCACCTGTCGTTACAGTTATATAACTTAAATTTGTTAAAATACGCAGTGTTTTAAGATAACATAACGATTTGTAATCTGATATTTGATGCTTTTAAGATGTGTTGTGATAACATTCAAAAATGTTTTTCAGGTTTGAACTACGTTAATGTCATTATTATATGTATTAACGCGGTTCGAACTCGAAAAACATCTCTAAATGTTAATAACAAATTGTATATTGGTGTAAAAAATAGAAATGGTTACAAATATTTTAGTAGTACTAAAAAAGTCACTTTACACTTTTTGAATTTTTTAAAGTAAATAACAATGTATATGTGTATATATACAAGATGTCCCAGAATTGGTGTGACATCTCTCGTAGACAAGTAGAAGCAGTAAAACTGAGCCGATAAGTCCTATATCATTTTTCTAGATTTGTAATAGTTATCCAGATCTTAATTAACAAAGATCAGCGAATAAGCATGCATTGGACTGTCTTACGCGCGTAAGACAGCCTAGCGCGCGTCGCACGATTACATTTTAATATGTATATGTTATAGAGTATGACGGTACTCAAAAGTATGACGGTACTTTAATATTCAACTCTCATAAGGTAAAAAATACTTAATGAAAATAAACTTTTCTTATAGTGTTTTGGAAAGCTCTTGAGTTAGGCTATAAGAATCTGCAATAAAAAAAAGAAAGAGTTCTATTTAAAAAAATTGATGTGACCTTGACCTGACTTTGGTGGCGCAATCCAAGGTCACAGTAATACAATCAACAAATAGATCTTTCTAAACTATACTTTTGTCTGAAACACTTTTCTGGAAATCTTATATTTTTTGAGATATTCAGGTGTTTCCGTTTTACTTTGTTTCACTTTGTATATGTATATTATATAGAGTTGATATAATTATCATATAAAAAAATGTGAATTTTATTTCTAAAAGTTGGAACACACTTTATTCAGGTCATCAACAAAACTTATGTGTAAAATTTTATGTCGATCAGAAACAAGAGTCATTTGGAAGTATATCTTTTTTTTATTTAAACATGACATTTATCTGTTTTCTAATCCAATATAATTTACATTAAAAAATATTTTTTCTCTTTTAACACGTACATAAAATGCTACCGGATAACGAAGAACATAGCACAGAATAAAAAATAATAATTATATAATAATACGTATAAATTACAGAATTATTAAGCAATATTATAAGTATCCAGTTAGCAAGCTCACGTGATAATGACGTCAGTTTTTTGTCTGCAAAACATCAATTTTGACCTAAAAATGACGTGATTTTAACGTACAATACATACAACACGTACATACTACGTGATTATGTCACATCTTATTGACATATATCATTATATTACGTTAAGTAGACGTGTATAATAAAAAAAGACTCACCAAAATGACATGTTAAAAACGTTATTGTAAATTTAAAAGAAAAATAAAGTACAACACATAAAGAACAATAGTATCAACATCCGACATAGCACGTAATATTACTGCATCACAGTAATATTAAAATGACTGCCGAAATGCATCACAGTAATATTACGGTGATATATAAAAAAAAAACAACGCTTTATAGAAGGAAAATTAATTCGGAACTTTACTTAAATTAATTTTTGGAGACCTGATTCAGTTTGTCAATCAACTGATTAACTCGATGAAAGGTACCGGGCCCGGAAAAAATCCTAAAGTAGTAGTAAGATTTGAACTCGAGATCTCTATTTGTAGCCCTTGTACTCATTTGTCAGTCCGCTAGACTTGTTCCTATAATGTAATTATTTTTCATTACTTATTTTCAAACTCTATTCTACACATTTTATTTATTATTTAATAATAAGAAATATTTAAAATAATAATTGTTTTTGTTATAAAATTTAGATTACTACAATAAACTTTAATTATTATTGAATATATATTTATTATATATTATTTTTAATTGCAAAAAAATTTAATACATAAAAAGTAATCAATTTACCAAATTGTACGTGGCTACTTACCTATAAATAAATGGCTATACTTACATAAATAATGTATTTAAAGATATAATATTATTCAAAAAAACAAATGTTATTAATAAACATGTTACTATAATTAACGGTTGAATTTAACCCAAGTTTGTTGTTAGAACGCCATTTAACCGTTTTATTGATGTCATAGTGAAATTCAATATATAAAGTTGACATATGACGTCAACGCGACATCTAAATTACGTCATCGGCGACGTCAACTTTTGGTATTGTAAATGACGTCAAAATAACATACTATTTATGTTACTTAACATCGTAGTCATCAAAATCAATCCATAATCACGTTATTATCACGTAAACTTGCTAGCTGGGTAATAAATTCATCTTTAGATGTTTGATAGTGTTAAATTCATAAGACTGTTTATGACACAATTCATAGAATCAAAATGGTTTGATTTATTATTTCAAATTCGATGGATCAAAGTGATCCATAGCTTTTGTTCGCCCGGTTCTGTTTACAGGATATACATCACAAAAGGTATTATGCACTTGTGTGTTTTCATCGGATTTTGGATTTGTACTCAATTGCGCTTTCAAAAAATCCGGACTCTTCAGAGTTCGGCATTTGGGCGGTGCAAAGGGATACTTCGGGCTCGGTGAGTTGAATTGCAGAAGCAGATCCTTATCGTGTTTATGAAACATTATATTTCGTTTCTGACACAATTACACAAAGCAAAATTATTGTTTTATTTGAAAATGTATGATGGTTTTTAATATATTTATGTCTGTTGAAGTCAAATCTGTAATTTTAGAATTTTACTGTCACACACATCAAAATTTACAGATAATGAATAAAAATAAAATGCAAATAACCGATCAATCAAAACTGATTATATTACAATCATCCCGACGATAAAAAATATCAGAAATCAGTACCACGAGAAACCAACCTCTGTCCATTCTTAAACACAGTAAAACACTACTTTACCAAAAATTTTTCCGTCTTGGCAAAAAGCCTTACTTTTACAACAGTTCCAAGCAAGTTTTTGAAAGCAGAAATAATTAGTCATATAAAATTGGCTATACACTTTTTCTCACAAGAACTAGCTAACACTATTTGCAGATTGACAGCCAACATACTGCATAAATCCAAATTGCCAACACACAATCTTATTAAATCAGAACGCTATACCTTAAAACAACTCTTACATCAAGACAGATATTACCATCCTTTAAGCAGATAAAAACAATATAACAGTATACTTATAAAACAGACATATAAAAGTAAACTACAGAGAGAACGGTTTATTTAGATTTAACAAATTTTGTTAAAACCAAACAAATTATTTCATTAGAATAGTCTAAACAACCTTGATTTTGAACTAAACATTCCGATTGTTTGAATTTCAAACAAAGTATTTTGTTAAATTAAATAAATCTAAAACTTCAATAAAAAAAACTATTTTGCGGCTTGCGCCCTCACGCAACTTCGAGATTTTACTCGAAGTAATTTTTGAAGGCCCGATTCAACTTGCCAATCAACCGATGAACTCCATTGAAAGAGACTGGACCTAAAAAAATCCTAAGGTGATAGCGGAATTCAAACTCGAGACGCCTCCGTCGCAGCCCCTGCACTCAATCCGCGAGACCACTTGTGGTTCTTACTAACATATAATTATTTTTATCTGCTTATTCTCAAGCTATCCTATACGCATTTCATTTATTATTTATGTAAATTATTATTTTATTAAAAATATTGCAGTGCAATGTATCTGCAACAATGGATAAAAATATTTCTCTTATTATTATTATTAATTATTTATTATTCTTATAATTTAAAGTACATTTTTATAACGCGAAAGTTTTTGTCTCAAACAATGCTATATTTAAATCAAATATATTTTATGTTATATTTATGTTACAAAATGATTTTTTTCATTAAATAATGCTTATTAAAACCAAATAAATTATTATTTTGTTGGAATAAATTATTTCAAACATTTGTATTGTTTCTGTCAAATAATTTGATTTATTTTAACGTAACAATATATTTTTCATTCAACAAAATTGTTGTTTGGTATAAAATTATGTTGTTTGAATGCAACAAATATGAGTCAAACAAATCAGATTATTAAATTAAAAAAAACCGTTTTTTCCTGTGCAGGCAATATTCATGGCAATACTCATTTTGCATATACAAGGTTGGGCAAAATACAATATTAAAGTACTTAAAATATAAAATACAAAATACTGTTAATCTTAGTATTTGAATTACAAAATACAAAATACTTTCAATCTTGCGATTTGAAATACAAAATACAGAATGCTTCAAAATTGTTTATTTAAAATACAAAATACTTTTTAATCCAGTCTTTTGATTACGATAATTTCTAATAAACTATAATACTTCTTTTGTAAAATAGATTCTGAAAAGAAAGAGGTTTTATGTTGTAGTTTTTTTCTAGAGAACTCAGGAAAAAATAGATTAAATCTAAGTCGATCTAAATTAAGTCTAACAAAAGAAAAAAACTGAAAACTTATATTTTATTAGATCCAAATAAAAAAACTGAAAAAGTATATCTAATTAGATCCAAAGGAGATCTAAATAGATATAAGTAGATTTATGTAAATTTACATTTTTATTTATCATTAGATCTACTGTAGGTTTACACACATTAGATCTACTATATCTATTTAGATTTACCTAATATTTTTCCTGCAGATAACATTATATATAGAAAGAAATTATATATAGAAAGGAAGTGTTAGGATATAATAAGCGCTTGGGAGATTTGTTTTTTGTACTTAAAAAAACATGTAGCATAATAAATATACATACCCAGCAAACAATTTGGTTGCGAGATGTCGCAGTTTTGTCACCAACCGCCGGCGAAATTAGTAGACCAAATCCATATCCATCTGTGTCCTCATTAGGATATGGTTTGGCGACCATATCTGTCAAACATGTGAGATGTCAAAATGAGACCAAAATCATAACAAGTCTGCCACTAGCAAAGCAAAGCCAAAGTGACGCACCAAATCCAGCACAGATTTGGTGATCGTTTGTTGGCGCCAAAATCGCGCCAAATACTCATCATATCTATGTTATCAGAACTGTTAACAAAACAGTAGCAAGTACAGACCAAATTTGTCGTCAGAAACGTCGACAGATTGCTACCAAACGCAGATCAGATCTGTCACCTAGAATCCAAGTGGAATTACTAAAAAAAAAAAAAGAAAATCAGTATCGCCTATCGGAGGGAAGTTAATTCGAGATTTCACTCGAATTAATTTCTGAAAGTCTGATTTTAGCTTGTTGATCAACCGATGAAACTCTATTGAAAGAGACCAAACCTGAAAAAATCCTAAAATGTGATAGCGAGATTTGAACTCGAGACCTCCATATTCGCAGCCCCTGCACTCAGTCCGCGAGACCACTTGTGTTCCTTACTAACATATAATTATTTTTATCTACTTATTCTCAAGGTATCCTACATTTCATTTATTATTTAGTTAAATTATTATTTTACTAAAAATGTTGCAATGCAATGTACCTGCAACAATAAATAAAAATACTTTTCTTCTTATTCTTAAATATAATTTAAAGTACATTTTTACAACGCGAACAAATGTTTTGTTAATATATGCTGATACTTGAATAAACAAAGTGTTTTTTAATGGATTTTTGGTCACTGAAAATGAATCCGGCGGCGAAATCGACCTAACATGTCAAATTTCTAAGAAAATTAAAGTTAAATGTATAACATACTGTCTATTAGCGTGAGAAAGAGCATATCAGTGTAACTCATTCACACTAGTGGATATTGTGTTACACAGTGTCGAATGTACGTAGCTGGAAAGCACCCATTGTTTCATATTACTCAATAAATACGAGAATAATACATTAAATTTATGATTGCTTTATTGCCGAATGCGTATAAATAGAAGTATTAAAATCTTGCAGTTAAACTTTACCGGTTCCGGCATAAGCTAACAGTTATTGCCCGCATAAACAAGGTCTAATTGTAAAAGACTGTTTAACGTTTGTTAACAATCTGTTATCAACACAGGCGACAGATATGATCGCAGATAATCGCCATTGTGTTGTCTAGATGTCAAACAGACAGTTTAGTAGTCTTGCGTGCAAACAGTCCGCACATATGCACGAACAGATCTGCTTAGCGTTTGGTGATGCAATCTGTCGTCAATGCGTTCAACAGATCGACCCGACTGCGGTCAACGTTTTGTCATAAACAGATGCTCATACGGTTTTGCAGACTGTTTGGTCATAGTATTGCTAAAGCAGATCTGCTTGCTATCGACCATCTATTTGTTATCAATTTCACTAACATATATGGAATCATTTCGACCGCAATAGTCTCATGTATGTGCCAACAGAGTTGTTGCGTTTTTGTCTCTATGTGCTAACAGTTTTGGCAGCACCAAAGCATGTTTCCGTACTGTAGCGATTCTGCACACAGTTTCTGTTGCCAAGGTCTGCGCAGTCAGAAATTGTTTGCTGGGTATATACAGGGTGATTTAGAACAACCCGTTATCTTGGAAAATACATATTCTTGACTAAATTCTAAGACAACTTTTTATCTGGCAAAATTTTCTCTGAAGCTTACTTTTTGAGTTATTAATAAAAATAGTTGACTTACCACAAGTCGGATACAAGAAGTAGGCAGAGGCGGCGCAACTCACCATCAGACGCGAGCGATTACGTGTGGTGCCTAACGCGATCATCTGATCGCTACGCACTGTTTCTGTATCTCTCTCTCTCTTTTTCTCATTTATTTACTCATTCGTAATTTGTATCATTTAATCCGTGCATCACATAAATTACTGTCAATCACGGTGAGTTGCGCCGCCCCTGCCTACCTCTTGGATTCGACTTATGGTACGTCAAATATTTTTATTAGTAACTCAAAAAGTAAACTTCAGACACAATTTTGCCAAATAAAAAGTTGTCTTAGAATTTAGGTAAGAATATATATTTTCAAGGATAACAGATTGTTCTGAATCACTCTGTATATATATGCAAAAGAAAATAACTTTTCCACAGCTGCAGAAGAACATAAGCTTGTGTTAAATCTTATAAATAATTTTTTTACAGATGGGGAATTAGATAGGCTTTAAGGACAGAATTGTTTAAAGAAGATAAAGATTTTGATTTGTCATTTAGAAATGATACAAACTCTAATTGCTGTAGAGATTGTTGTTTTTCTGTTTTTGGACTGGAAAATATGAAAAAATCTTCTTCTGTATCACTAGTACTAATACTACCAGTTTGTTCAGACATACTTGTTTCCATTGTTTCCATAGAGTTGACACAAAAATTGTAAATGCGTTTTTTTCAGATTCTATGCTTTCTGGCAACCATTTTAACTTGAATAATGGATAAAACCATGAAGCAATAATTGCTATATCAAAATCTAGATGACTGATTGGTTGATTTTTTCGACTTATGCGTTATGCAATATGCAAAAGTCTGTGCTTCAGCTCAACACTTGTTTTGATATTTCAAATACAAACTAGATTGAAATTGTATTTAAAATAAAAAATACATTAAATAACGTATTTGAAATACAAAATACAAAATACTTTTGTGGTCCACTAAAATACAAAATACAAATTGTATTTTAAATACTGTATT